TAATGGATGTCAGACTGATGCCATTTCTCATACTGGATCAACTAGACATCATAAAAAGTCTTCTGTTGAAAATTTTATGGCACTATGACTTTCAGTTCTGGAGTAATAAGAAGACTTTCAAGATGTCTGCTGTGGTGGCAATATTCGATTTTGATTAAGGATCAACTAGAGTATAGGATGGATGTGGGTGTAAAATTTCAATTCATTCTTCCAAACAGTTCAGGAGAATCAGCAGTTACAAACTAGTGTGTATGGATTGATAAATGCCAGAATACAGAGGTTGGTTGACAGATGACACATTAAGGACAATGGAAAACAGGTCATCCCATAAGCTCTTCTAATTTATGACAATAGAGCTAAAACTATTTACAGTGTTAATTACAATATACCATGATCATTCATAAACTCAAAGTATTGTGGCTTTAATTCATGATGGGCAACTGATGCATGGTTGTGGTTCCATATTTAGTAATGTAATACAAACAAATTGTACTCATCCAATCATATACAGCTTCTGATCAATTATCCATGTGAAAACAAGGCTGTCACAAGGTTGTGTATCAGGCAATAAAATGGATATAAAGCAAAAGCACAAATTTCCTAAAGAAATCAAATGAAAACAAATGCTTTGCTTGAAGAACTGTTGTTTGCCAAAATGGGGGTGCTATTGAATGGTTGTGCTTTGCAGTCTTTCTGTTCTGATTTTCAACCTGGAAAAATCAACTTTTGCACTCATTATGGTAATGTACCATTAGTGTAAATCTATTGAATAATTGTTGTGAAATGGTTAATGTTTATAGTTTCATTGAATTTTTTTTTCTAAATTGGAGTGTGTCCAGAATATTTAGTATTGATGCTTATTACTTAATGTGGCTCAAGGAAAAAGCATCAAAACTAAGTGAACCTGAATATGACTGACAATTTCATGCCACACCACTTGAGGTAATGCACTTTGATCTTAAAGTTAAGTTCAGGCAAGAGCCAGCACTTGTCACTTGGTCTTTCAAAAGGGTAACTCGATAAAACTGAAAGCAGAAGGTAAAGACTTTAAATTAAATGGGTCTGGAGGGGGTGCTTTCCTAACAGGAGTACCAAGGGCATATAAAAGTAGCTAGTCGCTCTGTAAGATTTAGGCAGGTAAATTATCTAGCACTTAGTGAATGCCCATTAGATCTGAGAAGAATGATATTTGCGATAATAAAGCAAATGATTCAAGTTTAAAAAACAGAACAACCAATATAGCTTCCAAGGCACATGGAGACTGTCTGTGTTTAGAAAGATGTTAATTTTGCTTTCAAGAAGGCTGAGAAGTACATTGATAGGTGCAAACATTGAAGGCATGTGTAGGTCAATGTGTTCTACTATATCTTTCTAACTAGAAAACTTTATGTGTATATCATGCTAATAATCAAATCCATCTTTAAATATGCATAGTTATCATTGGTAATAAAAATCCAACATCTGGATATCATTAGCATATCAAATAAGCTTGATTAAACCCGCTCCAGAAATATAGTCCCAGGAGTGGCAAGAAGCTCAGGCAATCATATGACCTAATTAATATGGGTAGATCTCACTCTGTATAAAATACATCATATAAATTTAGGATATAAGCCCATTCACAAGTCTGATAACAAAAATATTATCATAAATAAAATGCCAAAATTCTGACAATTAGCTCAGTCAATCAAATGTAAAATCATCTCACAAATCTGCATGACTCTTGCTCTTAATTCAAGATATTAATAATTTAAGATCGACGATTGGAACAAGTTCAACCAATCATTTGTTGTCAAGGGTCTCATGCATTATGACACTCTTGAGAGGGGTTTGTCATATATACAAATCTAAGAAGAGTGATCAAAATTAAATAAAAAATATAGTTTTCTGAGTAGCAACAACCTCAGCCAATCAAGTGAAAGATTATACTTATATTAAGCATGGATCATATTAATATTATGTATGAATCATATTAATATTATGCATGGACCATACTAATATTACATAATGATCATATAAATATTATTTATGGATCATATAATATTATGTATGGATCATATTAATATTATATATGGTTCTTATTAATATTATGTATGGTTCTTATTAATATTATGCATGGATCATATAATATTATGCATGGATCATATTATTATTATGTATGGATCATATCAATATTATACATGGACCAGATGAATATTATGCATGGATCATATTATTATTATGCATGGATCATATTAATATTATGTATGTATCATATTAATATTATATATGAATCATATTAATATTATCCATGGATCATATCAATATTATGCATAGATCATATCAATATTATGCATGGATTTTATTAATATTATGCATGGATCATATTAATATTATCCATGGATCATATCAATATTATGCATAGATCATATAAATATTATGTATGGATCTTATTAATATTATGCATGGATCATATTAATATTATGTATGAATCATATTAATATTATGTATGAATCATATTAATATTATCCATGGATCATATCAATATTATGCATAGATCATATCAATATTATGCATGGATTTTATTAATATTATGCATGGATCATATTAATATGATCCATGGATCATATCAATATTATGCATGGATCATATTAATATTATGCATGGATCATATTAATATTATGCATGGATCATATTAATATTATGTATGAATCCTATTAATATTATGTATGAATCATATTAATATTATCCATGGATCATACCAATATTATGCATGGATCATATAAATATTATGTATGGATCTTATTAATATTATGTATGGATCATACTTATATTATGCATGGATCATATGAATATTATGTATGAATCATATTAATATTATGTATGGATCATATCAATATTATGCATGGATCATATTAATATTATGCATGGATCTTATTAATATTATGCATGGATCATATTAATATTATCCATGGATCATATCAATATTATGCATGGATCATATTAATATTATCCATTGATCATATCAATATTATGCATGGATCATATAAATATTATGTATGGATCATATTAATATTATGCATGGACCATATGAATATTATGTATGAATCATATTAATATTATGTATGAATCATATTAATATTATCCATGGATCATATCAATATTATGCATGGATTTTATTAATATTATGCATGGATCATATTAATATTATCCATGGATCATATCAATATTATGCATGGATCATACTTATATTATGCATAGATCATATTAATATTATGAATGGATCATATTAATATTATGTATGAATCATATTAATATTATGTATGGATCATATTAATATTATGCATAGACCATATGAATATTATGTATGAATCATATTAATATTATGTATGAATCATATTAATATTATCCATGGATCATATCAATATTATGCATGGATCTTATTAATATTATGCATGGATCATACTAATATTATGTAATGATCATATAAATATTATTTAAGGATCATATGATTATTATGCATGGATCATATGAATATTATGCATGGATCATATTAATATTATGCATGGATCATATCAATATTATGCATGGACCATATGAATATTATGTATGAATCATATCAATATTATGCATGGATTTTATTAATATTATGCATGGATCATATCAATATTATTTATGGATCTTATTAATATTATGTATGGATCATACTTATATTATGCATGGATCATATGAATATTATGCATGGATCATATGAATATTATGTATGGATCATATTAATATTATGTATGGATCATATGAATATTATGTATGGATCATATGAATATTGTGCATGGATCATATTAATATTATGTATGGATCATATTAATATTATGTATGGATCATATGAATATTATGTATGGATCATATTTATATTATGCATGGATCATATTAATATTATGCATGGATCATATTAATATTATCCATGGATCATATTAATATTATGTATGGATCATATTAATATTATCCATTGATCATATTAATATTATGTATGGATCATATTAATATTATATATGGATCATACTTATATTATGTATGAATAATATTAATTTTATGCATTGATCATATTAATATTATGCATGGATCATATTAATATTATGTATGGATCATATTAATATTATGTATGGATCATATTAATATTATGTATGGATCATATTAATATTATGTATGGATCATATTAATATTATGTATGGATCATATTAATATTATGTATGGATCATAATTATATTATGCATGGATCATATGAATATTGTGCATGGATCATATGAATATTGTGCATGGATCATATTAATATTATGTATGGATCATATGAATATTGTGCATGGATCATATTAATATTATGTATGGATCATATGAATATTGTGCATGGATCATATTAATATTATGTATGGATCATATTAATATTATACATGGATCATACTTATATTATGTATGAATAATATTAATTTTATGCATTGATCATATTAATATTATGCATGGATCATATTAATATTATGTATGGATCATATTAATATTATGTATGGATCATATTAATATTATGTATGGATCATACTTATATAATGTATGGATCATATGAATATTATGTATGGATCATACTTATATCATGTATGAGGGGCCCCGAGTGGCTGAGTGGTCTAAAGCGCTGTCCGTTACGGATCACTGCCATCTCACCTCTGTCTGCGTGTGTTCGAATCTAGGATTCGGCTAATGTAGATATGTGAGAAAGCTTGCCAGTAGCTTCTCGTGGGTCGGTGGTTCTTTCCAGTGATTTCCCGGTTTCTTCCTCCACCATTAATACTGGCCGCCATGAATAGCCTATCGTGTGCTGAAAAATGGCGTTAAGCCCAACAACAACAACATATCATGTATGGATCATATGAATATATGATTGAATATTATGTATGGATCATATGAATATTATGTATTGATCATATTAAAAATTATGTATGGATCATGTTAGTACCATTTTTGTAAGTCTTTGTTATTACTCGACCAGGTATCAAACCCATGACCTTCCACTTCTGAGGCGGATGCTCTAACCACTAGGCCACTGGAGTGATTAATTTACTTTATGGCCATGCAAGCTAAAAGCAAATTTATACAATCAAAAGTATATGTACTATTTTATTTTATTTTTAATCTGCTTACTTACATAGTGATCTTGTTCATCATAGTTGAAGACGGTTACTTTAATATTTATCTGCTCCAGACGAACTGCTTTATATGGAAGATCAATTTGTAGGAAGAACTTTTTGAATGTTTTGAATGTAACTGGCTCAGCAATACAAATACCATATTCTGACGACATCCCAATAGCCTGTACCCTCCACTCGGTTATTGAGTGTGGTGTAGATTTTTTAATGTCCAAAATCCCACTGGAACTGTGGAAAAAAAACAATGCATTATTTCAGTGGCATTGCTACCAACATTTAGTAAACAATCGGATAACAGATAACCACTTGCAATAAAATACATATTTACTATGTACACAGAAAAAAAGAAAATAATCAAAGATAATTTTATGCAATAAAATAAATATTTACCATGAATAATAAATACATAAATAATAAAACATAACTACATCTAATAAAAAAAATACTTACCTTATACAGTACATAACTAATAAGTAATTTTTAAAATATTTTTTGAGTCTCAGGCTGGCTAATGTGGGTATGTGAGAATGCTTGCTAGTAGCTTCTTATGGGTCTGTGGTTCTTACCAAGGTTTTCCTAGGTTCTTCCTCCACTATTAATACTGGCCGCTATGTATAGCCTATCTTGTTTGAGTTTCTTGTTATTTTAAAAACGTTAGTATATATATTAGACCATATTCAGATTGAAAATTTTGTTCCATTTATTTTCACAAAATCCTTTAACATTCTTTTTTTAAAGTAAATTGTAATAGTCTTTACATCCTTTATTGATATGAAATACAATTTCTAAATGGAAAAGGATAACCAGTGCTGATTTACCTAAGTTTTTACACAAGAACTGCACACTGAATAATCCACTGAAAGGCAAGGAAATTTGTATTGAGACTATATATGTAGCTTTAAAGCTACCAAAAGTAAATAAAACTGAAGTTCACTGATATGTAAGCATACCACCAATATAGATTAGATTACATTATGTTTAAACCACTTCACATAGAAAATGGGTACCTTGTTCACCCTTATAAAGGAATTCATCCATTAACTTGTTTTCATACCAACTTTTTTCTGTCGATGGCATATTTATATCTATTATCAGCTTCCAAGCCAGTAAAACATCATCCCAAAAAGCATTTTTTGTCATTTTGGATAAGGTCATCACATTTTCATCTCCCAGTAGGAACTGGTGTCTAATCTCAACATATTTCATATTGACCAATTGACCAATTTCCTGTGAGTTAGATAAACTCTACAAATCCATGCTATTTTCAAAGCTCATATAAATTTATCAATTTATGTCATCACCAATTCACCTTTTAAAAAAATCTGAATCATACCATACCTTCTATTTTAACTGTTCACTTTTAATTTTTATATAAAGGTGGCATTGCTTATTTATCAGAAGCATCCAATATTGTCAAAACACTGATGGTTTGCGTGCATCATAAATATTTACTAAGTTCAATGAAATGAACTTGCAGTTGTAATGGAATGAGGTCAATCTAATAAAGAACAAATCTGTTATTTCTGCTTTTATTTCAAAATGAACTCTATTCAAGTGCAATATAGGCCATCACAAGCTATACCAGTTTCTGAGTCTGTCTGATCTAGAAGAAAAGGGTGGGATACAAGAGGATACTCTACAAGTTTTCTGTGACCATTTGGATATGCTGTATAAAGATATGTGTGATGTGTGAGTGATTTGAGGCTCTTCATTGGACGGAAATTCCAATTTGGGTAATAAATCCATTTTTTTATACTGAGGAAGTTGGTGTACTGCAGGAAAAGCTAATTTGGCTAAAATGTGATATTAAGCTGAAGCCAAAGTTTAAAAAATCTTACGAAGAGTTTTGGTTACAGACAGAAATTTCTGATCACTATCCTGTGCTATGGATAGTGGTATAAAAAGCTCCTTGTTGCATTTTCAGCATCATATTTTGTGGAACATGGTTTTAGTGCGGTTGTCCAACATTGCTCCAAGCAAAAAATTGGCACCTGATTTCTGAATGTGGTGATTTTAGGCTCCTGCAAAGTGACTTTAAACCAGATAATGGGAAACTGGTATCACTTCATCAAGCCCATCCATTGCATTAAGAATTTATTTAACAGTAAAGTATTTACTAAATGTGGTATCTATGACTTCTACTCAATGATTATCTGACTTTAAAAAGCTGGTATCACTGGATCAAGTTTATCAATTTTTGTTGCATCCATTAAACTAAAAAGTTTAACTCGAATTTTGAACAAGTGTTTAACTTTAATTAATTGTCCCTTTTTTTAATGTTATTATGTTATTATATTCTTTATATATAGTGAGTCACGTATACAGCTATTCTTAATAATTAATTTTTATGGGGTAAGGTAGGGGGCACAGAGAACAAGTTTATCGACGCAAGGGGGCAATGTTGCGAAAAAGTTTTGGAACCACTGAACTAGACCATGGGATTAACCCTGGTAGTGCTGTGTTGTTTTTGCATGATCTTGAAACCAGTGCTGATTTGTTTCTAACTGCTCTGTCTGTGTATGCTGAATTGTTTCAGAACAATACAAACTTTTTGGGCTAAATCCATATAACAACTTCAAAATTAGTTATTTATCATCAGATTGCTTTGAAATTTTATACAGTGATGTATATATACACGCAGATTGCAAACACAAAAAATGTCAGTGAAAATGATGTGCTCATGGTTACCATAGCAACCAAATAGAGAAAATGGGTGAAAAAGTATTTTTTTTTACAAAAATACAAATAAAGTGTAAACTTTTCCATCAAATGTTTTTATTTTGAATGTGTACATGAACAGTTTTGTTTCTTCTACGTATCACATATCCTCAGTTCATTAATTTTAGGCCTATGCTAGATAAATAAAAGTTAACTTTTAAACATCTATATTTCAGAATGTTACAATATTTAGCTGATGCAATACTTGTTTAGTTATTATGCACAAGTTCTCTCAGTATAAAATATAATTTTATTCACATAGTTCATTGCTAAGGAACCAATACTAATCATACTGGAAAAACATGTAATTATAGATTTACTTTGGTTGCCATAGCAACCAAAAAATAATGTTAGTGTTTGAAAGATTTAAAAAACTTTTTAAAATAATATTGTTGGTAGAATTTTTTATTCAACTAAATGCAGCATTTATTTTTCAAAGAAATCAGTATTATCAAGCTTTACTTATGAAGGAAAAAATAATTATCACATGGAACATTAAGGACATGCAATTTGATCCAACACACACATGGTATTGGATTTCTTGACGTACGACACTGAAATTTCAACTGCAATTTTCTCATTGGAACAGCTTTTGTCTGCTATGACTCCTAATATATATATATTAGGAATATATATATATATATATATATATATATATATATATATATATATATATATATATATATATATCCCTTACTATCTACAGTAAAACCTGTCTTGAAAGATCACTGCTATGTGAGACCACCTGTCTTGAGAGACCAAATTCTCAATGCACAAATTTATTGATTATATAGCATTGTGACCTGTTATGAGAGACAACATGTCTTGAGAGACCATAATTTTTGGTAATAGAGGTGGTCTTTCAAGATAGGTTCTACTGTATTAAGATGCAAGCTAAATGTGTGTCATTAGTATGAAATAGATACATTATGTCTTGGATTTCTTTAATAGCTTTATTAATTCAATGCCTTCTTTATATTGCATCAATTTTAATTTTAGAATATCTTTCTTTGTTTTATAATCTTATTTTTTTTCTTAAATACATCTTGTGATGTTTGTCTAGTTTGAGTACAATTGTTAGTGACATAATATCATCAGGTAGAGAAATATTATCACAGCCATTAGTTTTGACCTTCTCAAAACACAATAGTGTACTTTTAATTTGGCTATATATGGTAACAAAACATCAGCATCTGCCAATGTGTTACCAAGCCAAGTGAGCTGTTTGATCTTTACCACCAAGTGAAGCAGAAATAAACAAAAGTATGACCAGGGACAAGCTATTTGTATAACTGGATGAGAGCTGTGTCCAGTACACCTGTATGATAGTGAGATAGGAACTATTTGAGAGACCTGAAAGTCGTTTTTACCAAAGATTGACATAATTATTTCTTATCTCTCATTGATTACACATTATAGAGCAAGAGTTTAAGGTTTTCAATGATTATTAACTGCAGCCTGTCAGAAATATTTGATATAGAATGGATTTCTCAGCAACAATGTTAACATAAAACAAAAGAAGAACAAGCTTTATATGCTCATTTCCTACCTCTAAAACTAGCTCTGTAAAAAGTAAACAACGAAACTGAGAGATAAAAAAAAAGAAAAAGATTTCCACCAGGTAGAAAGTTCTCTTGAACGAAGGACTTGATTATTCCATTCCCAAGTTGCATACATTTCACATGGCTGTCATAAGAGCTGATTAATCGAGAAGTCTCTCTATCTCTCTGTCTCTCTGTCTCTATCTCTCTCAACTTAATTACTGAGAGAGAGAGAGAGAGAGACTAAATAATACAAGAAGAGTATTATGCTTTGTTTTTTTCTTTTGAAAAAAAAGAAAACAAGAAAAACAATAATTAAAGATTCAGATAGGTAGGGAAGGGAATACCTAGTTGTGTAAACATGACAATCCTGAAAAAATGATGGTTTGTCCCTTTCCAGCTTGTACAGCTCTCGCTCTTGATACAATGTATCCCCCAATATAAGAAAAGGCTCTGTACATGACGGACTCATTGATGAACTTGGCTACTAGTTAAAGCTCGATTTAATGGAATTTGATGTTGTTACTGAATAGGATGGCCATATCATAGCGCTTGCATATCAATATGCGATTGTGTCAAAGCACTTTAATCTCATCACATGGTATATTCGTACAGAAAATTAATTCTCAAACTTGGAAAACTGCG